AAAAAAAAAAAATAAATTTTTTTTTTTTTTTCGAAGTTATTTAATTTTATATCGCATAATTTCTGTTCGCAATAAACTAATTGTTGATCGACAAAATTTTATTAAATTTTCAATTAAATTAATAAAAATAAAATTTGTTGTGAAGTTAATCATTAATATATATTTATAAAATATTAAGTGTTTTTCCTCCCTAGAGACTTTATTATATTCCGTTTTATACGGTCAAAGAAACAGAATTGCACTAAGCATTTATTAAAACAGAAAAAACTTTGTTCTTTATTTTTGAATGTATGTTCTGTTAGCTGTTAACAATAATCCAACAGTACTGTTCTATCTTTTTCAATAAAATTTGTTGAAGAAATTAAGTGAAACCTATTTATAAGTTTTATTAGTAAAGTTTAATCAATTAACTTTCAATCATTTCAAATAACTCAAGAAAATATTAGCTGAATATTCGCGGGAACAGTGATAAAATTTTCAAAAATTTTTCAAACAAGCAGCTTAAACAGACAAATTTTTTTTTTTTGGTTTTATCGCCAATTTTGTTGAAATTTTGGTTCTTAAACATCACAAAACGTTGTATTTTTCATAGGAAAGATAAGAATGGAGCATAAATTTAGCGCTTTAATTGTTTACGACAAACAACCGTATACCAAAAGCCACCAAAGAACAATCAGAGAATTGAAAAAAAGTGCGCAAGCTGTTTCCCAAATGTTAACTGTTAAATGGAAAATTATTTGGTTTATTGATACAAATATAAATCAAAACCCATCAAAAACTATAAAATTTGGTTAGTATTTTTTAAAACATTTAAACTTTTTTTTTTTGTTCTTTCTTCTTTCTCCTCCTCTTCTTAGTTACTATCGAACTGTTGTCATAAAAGTATATCGAGAAAAATTATTGTATCACCAAAGTCAAAACAAAAATTCATGACGAAAAAAAAAATGCGACGAAAAATAAACGAAAAACAGAATGAATAAACAGATCTCTTACGATACATATTTTTTAGGCTACTCACTGAATCTGTTAGCAATTTCCTACAAATAACTTTCTAAACAGTAGTAAAACAAAAAAGAAATAGCAACAGAAGCAAAAAAGGCAGTTCTTATTAAGCATTTAGTTTTTACAAATAAAATTTTTTTGACAATCAAAATTAGTATGAAAATTTGCTTGTTAATAAGTGTGTCAATTGTACACCTCCCCCTATCTAAGAAAAATTAATACTGTTTACAGATAACTGAACATTGGAAATCGATATAGCATTAAAAATTTTACCCGACACCAATTGGTGATTCAAAGATTAGTAGATTTACTGCTTTAGTCCAAGAATATGGATTTTCAATAAGACCACTACCATTTGCAGTAATAAAATATGGACCAATTTCAGTGAACAATGCAAAAAGGCCGGAACAGCCCGGACCACCGGTTAGCCAAAGCAGTAACGGATCATCTGACGGTTGATTCTGTGATTCTACAAACCTAAAATTTTCAACTTTAAATATTTTACACAGTTTTTCTTTTCTTGACTTTTTCCCTGTTATTTTTGTTTTTCTATTAGAAAAAACTCATTTCTTATTATTTTTTTTTTTGCTTATTTTTTTAATCATTTTAAAATTTTAGTCTACATAATGTTTTACTGTTTCACGACTTTCTTTCAAACGTAAGCAGTGTAAATTGCAAAAATTCTATTTCTTTAATACTATATCATAAATATTTGTCACATTTGATTAGCCTTATTGAAAACAAAAATTAGCATAAATTACAGCATTTTTTTCTCGGCAAAAGTTTTTATAAAAATTTCAATTGGTAACAAAAACAGTGTATTAGGAATGAAATATCTGGTCCAAGCAACTCAGATAAAATTTATTGCCTATTCTGTTTGACCATATTTTTTCCAAAAATTTGGCACCTTCAATAATAAAGCTTTATGTGTCAAAAATTTTAGAAAGAGATTTAAAAACAAGACTTATTTTTTTACTGTTTCAGCATACACATAAAATAACCATTTCTAAACAAAAGCAAAAATAAGGCTTTAGCAATAATAATCTTAATTTGTTCTCAAACATCATTCTGCTTACCAATAAAATCAACCAATAAACTTAATAACTTTATTTTTTTTTGCTTATTTTTTATTTTATAACATAATAAGTGATTATAGAAATTATGCAGACTGTTTTGGCGAATAATCACCTTAAACAGAACCAACTTGCTTAAAAGATCATTGAAGTGTTGCTGCTAAAATTCTTTACCATTAATTTGCAGACCAATTTCTTGCTGTTTATTAATCTTCCAACTTTTTTTTTTATTCTCTTTATTCTCCTTTTTTATATACTCGACTTGTCCAAGAATAAAAAAATCAGAAATCAAAAATTTATTGACTAAAATGCAATTTTTTTGATAAGTATTTGTCTATTTGTCTCATCTGCTTTTTGCTTCTTTTTATGTCGAATTATTTGCAAGTGATATGCTTATTAAAATTTATAAAACAGAAAAAAAAGAAGGTTTGTTTTCTTTCAAAAAAAATTTTTTGCTGTTTTCTTACATTAATCAAAAAAAAACAAATAAAAATAACAAAATTCTTTTTATAGAAATTAATTAATAAAATTTTATTTTTCCTACTAAGCCACAGAAAAAAAAAGAGCAAATAATAACGCTAGAAAAAGGTCAGTTAATTAAAGGAGTACAGTATTAATTTTGAAACTTCATATTTTCAAATTATTTTTGAAAACCTGATGTTAATTAGTGAAAAAAAATTTTTTCTTTGTTCAAACCCATAGTGCCTTACAACTGTAGTTGAGGTTTTTTGACAATTTCATAAAAATTTTCAAAGGCATTTAGATTTTAAAAAGCAAATTTTAAATTCTTTTTAATTACGCTGTTTAGTGACTTAAAAATTAAAGATGAGTTACAAGAAAAAAAGAGGAGTTAACCGTTGAAAATGAGATTTTTAACTGCAAAAATGAGAAAATGAAAAACACAAAGCAGTTCAGCTATAAGGCGAAAAATAATATATGGTCTGTTTATCGAAATAAATTATTAGGCTAAATATTACAAAAAAATAAACAAATAACCGAAAAACCCGAAAAAAAGCCGAAAATTTAATCACTCAGTATAGTTGTCTAAAATCAGTCTGAATGCCAAATTTCAGTGTGCTAAACAGTTGAAAAGCTGTTGAGATTAAATTAACTGAGTGAGCATTAAAAGAAAAAAACTGATGAACAAAACGGCAAAAAATCACGAGAAAAAGCATC